TCAAACATGCAAATGTTCAGACCTAAAAATGCAATTATATTTCTGTTAATTATGTATCAGTGAGTAAAGAGATTTAATTTGAAAATGATTTGTATTGTTAAGTTACAATTGTCATGCACATAATAATTTCGAAATCAAATTTGCTTGGTTATTTTGTATTGAACAATTTGTATTAGACCCCTTGATCTGACTTTATTCTTAAAAATGGCCGCTGCTAATTATGTATTAGTGAAACAAGAGATTGAATTCAAAAATGATTTGTATTGTTAAGTTATAATTGTCATGCACATAATAATTTCGAAATCAAATTTGCTTGGTTATTTTGTATTGAACAATTTGTATTAGACCCCTTGATGTGACTTTATTCTATTCTGAATAATGACCACTACATTATGTTTTAAAGGAACTAATGGGTCATTATTCTTCAAAGAGGGAACAATGAAACGTAAATTCGCCTATAAATATAAAATCTTCATTGCTACAAAATTTTGCTATTCCATGAAAATTGGCTTGTGGCCCCATTTTGAAACGCGTTCTTGGATGGTGAGCAAGAATTCAAAGTGAATATTTTTGATAGTTTTAGGAATTAACTTTAAAACAAAGGTTAGCCAGGGCCAAAGTTATCTAAGTAAACAAGAACCGGTTGAACCGTGTGATGCTCCCCGAATAGGTTTTGGACACAGGAAGGTATTCCTCTTGCAGTTATGTCACAGACAAAGTTCAAAGTGTAAAAAGAAGGTAGCGACCCAAATGTTGCGCGCGACACGTCGTCTCAATATAGTGATCATTTCTGTGAAATAGTTGGAAAATCTGACTTCGAATAACGAAGTTATGGGCCAGACACGAATTCGGGACGTACGTACGTATGTACGGACTGACGGACGTTCTAACGGGACAGTAATGATATGGCTACTTAATTATTCTCTCTTTTTAGCCGCACAAAAGAAAATAGCCACATAAAAGCATTACGGATTGAATGACATCAAAGAAAAAGAACAGTTCCCTATTGTCCCTCTAGCCAAGTTATTACCGTGAGAGCGGATTGACGGACCACACGGCGACAATATGCTCCCCCAAATTTTTACGGGGAGCATAAAAAGGTGAATTATTGTGCAAGGTACATGTACTTGTCTTTGTCAAATGACCTCACAAATTGATTTCGAAAAAAATATACCAAGTTGAAATAAATAGTTTTTGTAGTTTTAATAACCAATTGATTACTTGCCACAGTAATTTCCAACATTGGCCTTAAAATCAGTGTGACAGGTAGAACTCAGGATGTATCAACATAATGGAGTTTCAATATTATAGCTTTCTTATTATTAAAGATAATGGCCATAAACGAATATTTTCATCATTAAATTCTTTTATAATTGACACTTTTTTAAGATTAGGGAATTAACTCTTTTAGAATTCGTGAAATAAAAATGTAATTTTGTATCATTTTCGTTAACATTGTTAATTTATGTTTAAAGTTTTCTTTCTATTCTTTACTTCTCTAAAATCATTTCTGAAAAATGTATAGAATTGAAGCTCTTTTGAAGCTGTTTTGAAAAAAAGATAAACTTCATAAGGATATTTCAAGTGGTATCTATCTCACAATTTAAAGGCACTGGTCAAATTTGTTTTCAAATATTAAGGATATATCTGATAAATAAGAAGTATCTCTGTAAATCTGTTTTGCATGCAGCATACTGTTATTTTTATGTTTTCAATACAAAAAGAAATGTTAGCAATGGTTGCATAACAATGACATGATAATTATTTCTTGTAGCTATTGAGACAATACCCATTTTGTAAACATTGAAATTAAATTATAGCATATTGATATTGATGGGTTTTCAAAGAACAATTTCTATTTAAGGTGTACCTTTTACTTGTTTTGCGTTTTACTTTATGAATTCCGTAATCATTTACAAATTAAACAGAATATTAAAAAAACTATCCTCATTCCTGTAAATTTTATAATAGGACTATCCTCTACATTTTATTTTATAATGACAAAACTACATTTTATCTTTGAGCTATCCTTAAAATTTTTAGAATGATAAGAACTATCCGTTACATTTTATTTTAGAATGATTAGAACTGTCCTTTACAATGATTGACCAATGTGATTCACCGATTTCAGTTGACAAATGAATATTCTTCTTATATTCAGTCCTTCCATGTTAGTTTTACAGGAAGTCAAACATTGTCCGAACAAATTATTGACATACCTTTATTTCTCAAAATTGTATCAGTCTGATCTGCATCTGTATTATCTCTCTTTTCTCTGGGAAGCGCCTTTAATTTACCTTAAACGGAGAACGAAATAAAAAGTACTTAACATACATATGCAATTTTGAACAAATTTCCACATTTACGTAAGCTAACTAATTTCGTTTTGGATACTGTATGTGAATTTATATTCTCGTAAGCAAATTTTCGTAGATATTCATATAAGGGGTCTAAAATTCGAATATCTGGGCTATTTTAGTTCGCAGAGATGAGCATCAAAAGCAATGGTTTTGCACAAAACACTCAGGTATCATTTAAACTAATTAAGGAAGATAACTGTTACACGATCTTGGAATGCGTTTGGTGATCATGACTCAAAGAAACGGTAAAATATGCAAAATAAATCTTCTACAAAATGTAACATCAAGTACATTGTATTTCATTTTCTCTCGCGTGCTTGAAATGATAACACATTATGCTTTGAAAATCAAGAACTGTCAGTTATTTTCGACAGGACAGGCCAGACACCTAAAGACTTACGAAAGATTTACGTAAGCGGCAGCAAAAGAAATTAACGAAATCGAAATAAATTAATATGAATGGCCGATAGTTCTCCAACTGGACGCGGAATAGCAAACGAGATTTTGTAATTGTTTCCTATATTGCTAGTTATGATTGGCATTCTCTAAAAAAGAAAACATAACAATTAGCAAACTTGACAAACGTAAATAAACTGTACGTGTGTACTAAACGAGAAAACACAGAATGGAACTAAAAAAGGGTAATTTTGAATGGGAATCAGAGGCATGTACTAACATCAATAATGTTGTGCTGAACGGTTTTCAAGGGTCGAAAATGATACATCTTTAATTATATGTACGATGCAACTTTTAACGGCCTTCACACTGCACAAATGAAACTTATATGACAATAGAAATGAAGAAAAACGGAATACCTAAAGATATCAAAAATGTTAAAGCTAGGTTTGCTCGCGCTGTACTTCAAAGAATGCATTTGAAATTGAATACAGTATATCTGGCACACTTATAATTTCAGTTGGTCATATTTCTTAGCCACGAATGATAACTCATGTTTTTCTATCTTATATTACGCCAAATTATTCCCCCTTTAAATGAACTAAAAGAAGGGACCTTTTCTTAAAAAAGACCTTTCTATTTAATAATTCGAATTTTGTCAAGAAACTGACACTTTTTCATTAACCTTACATAATTTATTTTCTATCAATTTATGGTTGCTATGGTAAACATATGAGTTTTGATGGCAAAAACAAAATTCTGGACAGGAAGTAATCAAACACACAGCGTTTGCCTACACTAGCTTTCATCACAGTCATCACATGTAAACAATATATCAAATTGGAAAGAATATTGAGATATTTGTTTTTAAATGCAAAATAATAATATGGAAAACAACTATGTATAGTTTATGTATGTTGCTTTAATTTGTTTGACTGATTTATTATCAGTTTTAAAAGCCATGTACACTAAATGTAGCAGCAGCCGGACACATGACGCTTCATAGCAACCACGTTAAAAACGTGAACGGCAACTGAACGAGATACGGCTAAACGCATGCTCACGCACTGACTTCCGTTGTATCGAAATACTGCATATACTTATAGCGAAAGTTCGTAAGTGTGGCACAAACCAGAGTCAAAATATCATATATATCTCATTGTTCGGCTTGACAATACTGCTCTTAATAATCATATCTAGAGCTTGTATGATAATATACCTACCAAATATTGTTGAAGACTTGATAAACCCCACACCTTTTCTGAATCCTTCTGTAACTGAACGTTTAAAAGTTGATGCCACTTTAGCAACTAAAACAAAACAAAAGCAGTCTGTCTGAACATTGGATACATTTTTTATATTGGCACAGAGAATGTGAGATATATTATGTGGCATGTACGCGCAAATTTTCATGATGAATTGTTTTTTAAGTCTATATATAGGAGCTAGCGCAGTTGAGACAAATTGAGGAAAATAGTTCCACATACCAAGTCGACCATGACAAGACCATTATAATAGTGTAATCCCTAGATGTATTCAATCAACAGTCAAACAGAATCTTATTTTCCTTAACTTTATTCCACTTGCCTAAATCTATTGAATAGACAAACCTTGTCTGTATAAAAGAATATGATGCTGATGAACACGTTCAAGTAACGCATTTTTATGCAATTACAGGATCAGTGTTCAATTTATTGCATTTTGATTCGATAATGTATAATGTATGAAAATATATGTAATCTATCTTCCAATGTTTAGAAGATACACGTTATTTATCTTTCGGATGAGCTTTAACTGTTAAAATGGACGAAGTGATCATAACATATTTGAAATGAAATAAAATTATCGAGTCCTTCTACTTGTACATCAGTTCCTCAATAGAAAGTTGTACCTCATGGAACAAGTAATACATGTCACTCTCCTTTTTATTAATTTTTATTAATACAGATGAATTTTCAATTCAACAGAAAGGCAGTGGAGGACTATCTTCCAATGCGAAGAATTAAGATAATTATATAAAATAAATATTTAACAGTAATCGAGCAATTAGGCACAAATTGTCTTCATGTTCATGTATGACTTAAACATTTGATCTACCAAACGTTGTGACAAATTTTATATATAAAAGATGATTACAAATATTCTAATCATATATAAATACACCTTGGCAGACGTCAATTAAAATGAGATCTTTAAAGTTTATTTTTACCATTTAAAATCTCAATTGGAGGTAAAATCATACAACTGAAATGAATGTTTCTTTAGCAAAATGACGTTTAATACTTTATATAATACTTGAATATGTGACAATTTCATATAAATGTAGGAACGTTCACTAAAAAAAAACAGTTATTGCTGAATGCTGAAAGAACAGGTAACACCTAGTTTATTTGTCAATGATGTTGCATTATGTTCAGCAAGGTAATCGAGATAGTAAAATGTAATGCTTATGAAGTAAAAATGGAAAGCCATGAATGATTTAAAAAAAAACACATACCGGCGCCTGATATATTTACATGTTCAGAATCGGAACCTAATTGTTCATCGCTTGGTTTGTCTGCGAAGACTTCATCAGCACCGCCTTTTTGTGAGCTATTACTTTCATCCATTGAACCTTCATCAAATAAAATTTTCAAATCTAATGTCAATACGTTTATGAGATTTTATACGATTTGATGTGGGATTTTACAAATAACTTGTGTCCCAAATTTCAGATCATTCACTCACTCATTTTTTTTATTGTTTAAAATGACCTAACAATTAAATGCGTTATAACGCTATTAACTGAAAACGGACTTAGAACCTCACAAAATATCGATTTCTATTTGATTCTTCGTATATTTGTCTGGATGCATCTCCTAAATATTCGTTTTAAGTGCCAAGGATGATCTACAGGAATTTATCAAATGTTATATTGTTGGCTTTTGGACAAAAGTATGAGCTTCTTAAATACCATAGATGTATTATCTTGCTTGCAATATAACGCTGCCAGGAACTAAGTACAGATGTTACTTTTCATAAACGTTTTTCATTGTCAAATAAAAGTGACATATTTTGACAATAACCACTCACTGTATATTTCAACAGATACATCTTTATCATCTATCCGAATTGGTCTTTTCCCCAGCACCAATTGTAAAGCTGAAAAAAGAAATACAATCGAAATATGTCATGATTAAGCTGATCGCATTTTTCATTTCACTTACCTCCCTCAAGAGCAAAACATCTTATGCATTTTAAAATATTTCATTATCTGACACAGGCCTGATGCTATATTTATAACTTAGTTAATGTGTCCATAGAACTGCGGGATATCATGACAATAAAATAATGATTTCACTCTATGAATCTTTGAAGGGCGGACATAAATGACGTTATTTATTGTTTTCATGAAGACATTATCAGACTGTTCGACAAAAAATTGATAACAACCTTTCGAGATCTTACAAGATCTCGAAGTTAAGAAATAAAGCAAAGCCATATTGGTAATCTATGTCGTTTATTTAGTTATATGTCCTTAAATTTGATATTTTGCTTCTGTCAATGGAATTCTTCGTGGGCAAAATGCTATGTATTAAGTTGACATCAGTATATAATAGCCACACAATTCGCGTGATACTATGAATGTTACAACTTACCTTCCGCCTCCTCAAACTCAACAAGAGCAGATGAGTCATTCTTATCGATATCCACTCTTAAAACATTTCCACCGCCTTGTCGCCTTGTATTTTCAAAAATACCTATCAAAGAATCTGCCCCAATGCTTTTTGGCAAGCCGCACACTTTAAGAATTGTAGCATTTGCGGGCGTCCGATTAGATGTTGACTCTAAAAAATGATCTATATTTAAAACGATTGACATTAGAAAAAACATCTAGGTTATTTTTGTTCGTATCTCATTAAAAAAAAAAACAAAAAAAAAAACTTTCTTCATTTTGATTTACTGTCCTGATTTTTTGTTGTTGAAAAACTATATAACATTTTTAAGTATGTATGTAGTGGCCACTAAATTAATAAAATTAATACATTCCTGGAACGCAAAATGATTAACAAGTAGCTTCTTTCTCTTTAATTTAAATGTGCCCATCTTATGCCAGTACTTTAATCAGTGCATGTTAAATAATGAGTTATTTTGTTTTTCTTCCGGACAATATTTTGACAATATTAATAATTACATTTTTCATTGATAAAGTAAATATTATTGGAAAACCTTATAAGAACCTGTGCGGACCTGCTATGGGTCATAGCATGATTGGAAATGCTTTATTACGGTGGCTATATTTACCTGAAATCGGCCCCGGATTTTGCTCAATACCAGCCAAGAGCAACAAAATACCTATGAATACAACTGTCCCTATAGTCTTTAATCCTCGGGTAAAGTTGACTATATATTGAACAGTTATTACATCTGTACCAAAGTTTCGGCTGAAGCCACCAATTCTTCCACGATAAGTTTGTATATCAACACCCATTATTGTAATATTCTGAAAAAGGGACATAACATGATTATAACAAATATCTGTTTTATTTATAAAATAATACACTATTTGAGTATGTTCCGTAAAAAAGGAAAATGAAATAAATGTTATTCATATACAACATAAAACGGTCACTCTCTCTATAAGTATACATTTGTGTTCCCGTGAGCAAAATTACAATTTCACAAAATAATTTCTTTAGAATAGTAGATCCATGTAATATATCTATTATAGCAAACATGGAACGGCACGCTGAGATTTATTGTCAAATTTAAACTAGATATATGTATATAAGACCATCAAGACATCAAAACCATTCCGGACCACAGTCGCGTGTGGTATAGACTTTGTTTCTGTCGGATCATGTCTATGCATTAATTGTAGAAAATTTGTACATAAATTAATATTTGATTGACAATTTTCCATTGTTGCGATTGGTTTAGACACACGACTGACTTTTACATCTTTTATATTTTTTACCAAACAAATAAACGTCTCCTAGTTCCACGCTGAACTAATATATTTAAAGGCTTTACGGGATTGAATGTTCTAACCGGCAGAAACAATGTTGATAAAGAAAAAAACAACAAACAAAAAAAAAAAAAAAACCAAAAAAAAACAAACAAAAACAAACATAAATTAAACTGACAAGATACTGATATTAATATGGTGGCTGATTTGTGCCATTCGTGTTTTCGCCCAGCGACCCCGCCAAGCAAGAAGTCGAAGATTAACAAGTTAAAATGCGAAAACACGCTAATTAGCGGGGTCGCGCGGCGAAGTTTTATTTAAAAAACATCGCCCCGCGCCCCGCCAATTAGCGTGTTTTAGTCCCGCGACCCCGACGTTTTATATTTCTTAAATCTCGCTCCTAGCCCCCTCGCTAATAAGTGTGTTTTCGCTCCTTGCCCACGCCATTTTAACTTGTTAATATTCAACTTAACGCTTGGCGGGGTCGCGGGACGAAAACGCGCTAATAAGCGGGAGCGAGCGGCGAAGTTTTATTTGTTTTCGTCCCGCCACCCTGCCGTTTGATTTGAAATTTTTAAATCTCACTCAGCGCCCCCGAGGGGCAAAGTTTTATTTCTTAAACTTCGCCCCGTGCCCTCGCTAATAAACGTGTTTTCGCTTCGCGCCCCGCCATTTAAACTTGTTTATTTCCGACTTTTCGCTTGGCGAGGTCGCAGGGCGGTTACAAGAATGGTATAAATCAGCCACCATATATTTAGGTACCATGAATGTTGTGAATGATACCGACAAAATAAATAAGCCTTTAAATATTTGATTTTCTTTTGCTTTAAAGTATGCATTCGTTTTGTTATGTAAACAAATACGTACTTGTACTTTGACTGAGGAGCTACTTCAGATAAAACTTTTTTTCGTGTGGTGTGAACACTGTAGTTTCCTTAAGATTACTTAAAACCCGTTGTATAACTTATTTCGGCAATAAAACCGGTGCAAAACAGCGATTCAATAGTACCCTTTTCAAGGTTGTTTAGACAGCTTTAAACCAGCAAAACAGTATTAACTACATGGCAATGCAGACAAACAGGTAATATATCAGGGTATTTCAATAAAGAAAGACTTGACTTTTTATATAATTTATGCTCTCCCTAAACATTGCGACAGCTTGAGTGTATATTTAATCTGAAAGAAAATGTCTTAAAATCTATCGTTATAAATGTGAACATAAAAAATGTCAAAGAAATACATGTATAGTATTCTTTTAAGAAAACATGACTGTAAACATTAAATTTAACAAATTAAAAATCCCACCTTAAAGTGAAACAAATGATCAAATATCGTGAACATACAACACTTTATAGTATAAAATTGCATAGTAAACTGGAGGAAAATTTTATTTGGGGCTAATTTCAAACAAGTAGTTTGGGTACAGTGAGGAAATAAAATACATAGCAAACATAACTGAAGGGAGATAAACACTGAATAAACATAAAAGAAGTACTTTAAAATACTAAAGTTAGTGCTCTATGTATTGTGCATCACACAATCTTTTTATGCTTCCTATTATAGTCTAAATATATATTAAGTAACCATTTCTTTTATTTTCTTGAGCGAACAAAATAATTTGAAGTACAAAAACGGAAATAATTTAAATATAACTGACGATAGAGTTATATTCTTTGCATGTTTTTTTTTTCTCACTGCCTTAAACCTTTTTTTCTAGTTTCTTTCAATTTCCATCAAGGATATAATTTTTAAAATAAACAATATCTCTCAAACCGATGGCCACTAATGGATATCCCGAAAGCAATGGTAGCAAAGTTCATAGTGTTCCGAAGATTTCGTAATCTTTAGATTATAATAATCGACGATAGGAAAGTAATAGAAAGATAACAGTAACAATGTTCCAAGAACAACCACCATGAGTTAACAATAATTCAAAATACCAAAGTTAACGCATTTCTAGAACGGTTCGACATTGATTGTCGATTAACTTGGCAATATGGCAAGACATTTGCTTTTGTTTCGATGCACTTAAAAAACTACTTGCAAATATCTAATATCTATTTTTTATAATTTGAAATGTGAAATTTACATTTTGAAGTTGAAAGTTATTATTGTATATTATTAATGAAAATATGACGTTTACACGTTTATCGTAAATTCCATATTAAGCAAAGTTAACACTTCAAGGTTTACAATTTAACATGTGAATGCCATAGATTATTGTGCTGAAAATTATTATTATCATTTCACAAAAATAATAAAATTCAATCTATTAATTTTGAAACATTTTTAAAATTGATAACATTACCGTAATCATTATAATTATAAAATAATAATGCCTCGATGTTGTCAGATCTGAGACTGAGCTTAATATACACATGTACACATGTATACCCTCTTATCAAGATGCGCAGTCAATCAAAGAAAAACAAAACTTCCTTTAATTTAGGCTTATGTTACGCAATCGTATGGATCTTAATTAATAAAATCATCAGTTGCTCCAGTCAGTTTTACATACAAGTAAAGTTTTATATAAACAATTCGGTGCAATAAATCAAAATAACACATTCTAGTACATAGGATGCTGCAAAAAAGCTTTGATACACCTTTGCCCTATTATATATACATAATCTAAAAACAACAGACATTGAGCAATAATAAAGTTTTATTAAATAAACCTATACGAAAGAACATAAGAATTTTAACGAGTAGATTAAACAATAAATTATTTGTAAAAATGTTTTGTGAATCGAAATCTTACGATTTAACGATGTTACGCTTTATGATTTGATTTTAAATATTAATAAAACAAGTCTAATAGGTAATATCGAATATCGTTAAAATACCTGAGCATTTTCATAGATCCATAACCCTGAATTTTACTATGGGTGAACTGTTCCACACCATTGACGGTTTCTGCAAACGACAATTGTATGACATTCAAGGATAGATGAAATGTGCAGCTAAAATTGTCATCTATATTTGGCAACAATATTTGAGAAGTCGGCTGTGGATATAAAAAGTAATATCATGCTTTACAACGTAATTGTTCACCTGTCTGCTCTCAGTAGTATAAATTGCAAGTCCTTTAACAATATTGCTATCAACATTGAAATCAATAGAAAAGCAAAAAAGGAGTTGTAAGGGAATAAAAGATTTAAAACCCGAATGAAATCGTTTGAACACAAAAAAAAGGTTTTATATGGCGAAACACAAAACGTCCATAAAAGGAATAGGACGTGAAGATGTTACTCACTTGGTTGGACCAATGTACAATATATTTTTGTGTACTTGACCTTTATTTGGGACATAAAATTTAATCATTTATGCGGTATTGACAGAAATATCTCTTGTTTAAAAAACTTCAAATTTCACAGTTGTCAATAAATGAGAAGAAAAACTGAGTAGAATAGTCAGTTCAATATTTATGTTAAATAATTGCTCACAAGATGTATGCATCAAATTTTCAATTGTCTTGGGATCTAATGATACTGATATAAGGATACGTTATAGTTCTACAGCCTGATTTGTATGACTTATATACCAAATATGACGTTCACTTACTCAAAAGATAATATTTAATTGATTAAAATATTCAATAGGGTATTCACGTTGTTCAACCAGTATTTTAACCATCTTGGACGAAAGTACAAAACTATTGCCAAAGGTGATTTAACGTTGATTTTGGTCAAAGTTTACGCTTTACTTCAAACATTATCTATACTTATATATGGCTAATTTTGTGTTATAATTCCATCATTGAATTGTCTTGTAAATGATAAATGTCACAACAATTACGTTATAATTTTATTTTTCTGAATTTTCAATATGTTATGCATATTTAATGGGGTTAACACACAGCAGGCAGACAGACAGTCGAACATTCAGACAGACAGAAACCTATATTTTCACTCGATGTAGGACAACCTCAGCGGTGATGATTTTGGTAGTTTACTCTCTGAATCTCTGAATCACGGTAGTAAGCAACTTCAAATGCATCACAGCTCAGGTCAGATTCACAGCTTATCACTGTACCAGAAGGTTTTACAAATACTGCATTATGTACAAAAATATATTTGAAACCCTATAAAGATTTACAAAATACAAGTTCTGCAAAAAAATGCAAAAAACCAACTTAAAAAATAAATGAATAAATAAAAAACAATAAATAAACAAAAAAAGATAAATAAAAAAGATAGAAACCTCAACAAAATCTTTTACAGAAAAAATGGCGCTTTGTCTAAGGACTTAAAATGTTCAATTATATATGTTTTTTTTTGTTCTGTGTGAATGACATAAATTATAATAAGTCAGCAGCAATGGCAGCAACAGTTTCTACAGAGGCACAAGCTATTCAAAGCATTGTTCAAAATGTTTACTGGGTAAATCATTCAAATTCCCATTAATAACCTTCATCAGAAGTTTATGCATCATGAACATCTATTGAATTTTGCGTGTCTGTCTTTGACTTCCAACATCAATACTTATTTATTTTTTCATTTGCCTATGATTGGGAAAACTTTCAGCTGGACTAATTTCTTGGTTGATAAGCTAATTTCCAGAGGTTTTGACATGTCGATCTTATTGCATTGAAGCCACTAACTGCTCGAAGTACTCTTACCACAACTACTTGTGATTGACTTGTGCACTGTTTTGTATACCGATAAATAGTATTGAATCACATACGTCGCCTTAATGAAAACATTTCACATCCCTCTTTATGTAAAAATATAAACATTATAGTGCCTCGAGTATAATGTTAACATACACGTTTTTCTGGATATTTAATTGCAAAACTGGTTGTGAGAAAAACTTAATAAATAAATTAATAAATTTATGTCATCTCAACGAGGTTTGCAATAAAATGGTAGGAATGGATACAAGTAGTTGTAACTAATTTAAAACACAATTATGTATGTTCCCACAACACGATTATGTACACATTACAACATTTCCAATGAAAAAATGTTGCAAAACTTGAAAAGTTGTTATTAATAAAAAATAATCTGATTTTGCATTAAAAACATATTTGTTGCATACAGTTTGCAGTGGAATATAATTTTTTCGCAGCCATGTATGTATTCTGACTTAAATCACTTATACCCATTTTTATGACAACAAATATTCATATAATGTGTAGAGTTTTATCTAAATATAAAAAGGCGAATTTTGGTGTTTTATTGTAAAACTCCTTTTATTGCCAACAGTTATTACAAAATTATGTCATTGCAACGAGTGTTGCAATAACATTATCAACCAAATTTATGTTTAGCTTTTCTAGCTTCAGACCATTTTGCATTTATAACAACGAGTTTTGTGATAAAAAAGTAAAACGTTATTAGTTGTTGATAATGAAGATTAGCTATTACTTCTTTAAACTCATTATTTTGAAATACTATACATGCATGTATAAGTGTTTTGTAAAATGAAAAAAAAAACATGAAAGAAATTATTGAATCATAGAGGTTGGTTTTCTCAATAAAAATACCTTTATAAAAAATAACAGTGCAGCAAGTATAATCATACATGTTGAATTATTATATTTTGTTGCGAAACCGGTTCTATTGCAACACTTGTTCTAAGAATGTGCAACAAAATGATGTTATCGCAATGACTTTTAAAATACAGTAGTCGACGTTTATAAAACGATAATATATGATGTTCTATGAAAAGGAAAACTCGCACAAAAGACAAAAAAGCCTAATAAGGTGTTTATAACTCTTACATAGGACTTTATTACTCCAACTTAAGACTTAAAAAAAAACTCCTTAATAGATCCTACGTAGCAGCTATTTAGTCCAATGTAGGAGTTTATAACTCCCATACAAGACAATATAACTCCTTCGTATGAGGAAAAAGCCTAATGAGGAGTTTTAAAGTCCTACGTAGGAGTTACAAACTCCTTATTAGGCTTTTTCCTCATACGTATGACTATTTATTTTAAACTATTTAGCGATCTTTTCTTCAAAACAAATTGTTTTGGACACTCGAGGACTCATGACAAGGACAATATCTCGATGAAGATTAAAATCCGGCAGAAATATAGAGAAAAGGCAGGAGGGTAGTATCACACTTCCATTTTCTGAACATTTTATTAAAATATATAATAACATAATGTTTCAAAAGTTGAAATCATATCTTGTGATTAAGCTATTTTCTCTTTCACTAGTATTATAGTGAATATCTGGATCAGCGGAAATATATTTTTTACCGATACTGAGTTTAAGATCCACATAGGCTTCACCACATGTAGTTCTATGAGAAATTTTTCAGAGCTTTATTTGTCGTAACATAGTTTAAAAGACAGATCTTTTTCATTACTTATCACGAAAAACTTAAAATTGAAAATATTTGAATGTTTGCACCCAATAGTTTGTAAATGAAACATACTGTAAGTGTGACCGTGATATCTGACCTAGAGACCTGATTCATGCACAGAGCACTACGTCCTATGGAATTAGATTATTTAAAAAAGTAACATTGAAATTCCTCCATGCATATAAGAGATATGCTCTGGACAATATCTGGATATTAAATCATCTCTAGTGACCCTGATCTTTCAAATTTTAACTATATTACACGTTTTACACTTGAAGTCAACAGAAGTTACCATTTATGTTATAATTAATTATTATAAATGATCAAAAAATGGTCCGTTTACAGATCTTCATGTTTTATCTGAACATTGTCCTCTATGTGTGACCTTGACTTTGTCGAAGTGACCTGAATTTGGCGCGCGACACTCGTCTTACAATGGTTAACATATGTGTCAAAATTTATAAAAAATCCACTAATTAATGTAGAAGTTTTGCTCCAACAAGCTTTTTTAATTAGGCTTCCGTGACGTTTCACCTATTGGCCTAGATCATGCTTAGTGCACTACGTCTTATCGTTGTGCGCATTTTTGTACAGTATTATGTAATTGCGTCAATGCATGTAGGAGATGTACTCCATACAACTTTTGAATATTTTTTTAATCTGTATACTGTTATTAGGTTGTTACCACACCTCAGTGAAATTTTATACGTGTATATAACTATGCTTCTTAAACAATTTTCAAGCAAAGAAAAATATGTAAAACATGCACTGCAAATTTTTGTGCACATTACATGTAATCATTTAAATATATGTTTTCATTTCTTTTTGAAAAAAAAAATGACTTAGACTTTATAGAAAATAGTTTTTTATTACATCCCTTTATTTAAACGTGAAATGTTAATGTTATATTTTTACAAATAATGCTTTTTGAAACTTACAATATTGATACATCTTCATTTGATCATTATGCTTATGATATAAAACCATTAAAAATAAGTTACATGATCTTTATAGGCCTTGACCTTGTATATATTGACATTAATTACATGTGTCATAGTCATAGTAATGACAATGATAATTAAAACGTTTGTTTTATAATCCCAAAATGATGATTGAAAAGTCCTTTTATATTCTTACCTGAAATTTGAACTCTACGTGTGACCTTGACCTTGTAGACAGAAACCTGAAATTTGCGCGTGACGTTTTGCTTTCTAATGGTTAGCATTTTTGCCAAATGATTTGAATACCCTCTATGCATGTAGACTTTCTGCTCCGGGTGAGCATTTTTCAATGAACTCATGAACTCTAATTGTGACTTTGGCCATAAATCTATAGAACTAGTTCATGAGCTCGACACGGGACCTCATAGAGGTGGATACTTTTTTATGAAGTTGTATTAAAATCCATCAATGCGTGTAGGATATATACTTCACACGAAATTTGAGGGCCCGCTCCGCATGTCATTTTTATTTTTCGCCCGAAGTCCGTCTGAGAAGGGTTTGACTTCCTGTACATTTTACAGGGCAGAACTGAATATAAGTAGGATTTCAAAATTACAAACAGAAATCAGTGAATCTCATTGGTCATCGGTACAATGATATTAAGGATCTTTCAGAAACGTTAAAACGTCCGAATTATGAAAATTATTCAAAAGGAGTGTGTGGAACAAAC